GGTACCTGATGTTGAAATTTTTTAACAAAATAAATAGACAACACGGTGTTACAGCGATACATCACTCAAGATTACCAGTAATTCGAACCCCAACTAATATACATTAACTTTCTTAAAGTCACCTGTTAGTGTCCTCGTTATTTACAGATACTTCCTAATCTACATTTGTTGTTTCACATACAATATTCACAAACGTCCTTCATCCTGTAAGGTGATTGTTGTTAATCAGTATGAGACCTTAGACTTAGGTCTCATGTTATATGGCAATTGTTAGAAAGAAATCCTTGTGGTCGAGCTGGTACTCCCTGAATAATTTGGTTGTGTGCCACGCAGTTCAATTGCAGACTCATAGTATTTTCAAACCGGACTACTATATATATCGAAAGGGAGAGGTAGTAAAAACTAGTAGTAGAGAAATATTTCCCCATTCTTCTCGGCTTTTTACTTAAAAAATGAATGAGAATTTTCCCTTTAATCTAATTGCACTACCACCATCATCAATCATTTTGGTCAAGTTGTCACGTCTGCTTTATAACTGTTAATAATAATTGTTCCTACTGTTCTTATCAACTTCCAATACTAATTTAATTCATCATTAACTAAGTCACCCAATGTATTGGTGTAATCGAAGAATATATTTGAAATCTTGAGCGATTTTTTAACTAACACTATTATGACCATTCGGCCATTGTTTATGAAATTCATAAAAACCTTACTATTCAGGTTACCCGGATATAAACAATCTATGCTTTTGTCCTGTAATTGATCACGCCATATTTTCATTCGCCTGTTCGATTGTATGAGAGCAACAAAATGCTGAAATGGTTAATGAATGCACCAAGAAATGTCACATTTTTCAAGGCTTTTATTAGGAAAACAAGTCTACATTTAAAAGACTAAGAATGTGTGCAATAAAACAGAATGACTCCACTTTATTTGTTCATGATTTATGAAGTGCAAACTCAGATATCTATGCGATTTCTTCTTATCTGAGTACCAAAATCCATATGCAACTGTTCTGTCTTTGAATAGTGCTAAGACGTCTGTCGATTACCAAACTTAGTACTTCAAATCAGTAATCTGTTAGGGGCCCAAAATCCATAGTACACAGTTTTCTGTTCGATTTAATAATAAATGAATATTCTCTAACACGTGTAGTGAAAATATCAACTTATTTTTATTGTTTTTATCACATCAGTGACAACGTCATAACTTGTGAATTGGAAAGAACTTTACAAGCATTTGATTGCTTGTAACCGAGTGAAAATATAGAAAACTAATGCCTCTAAACAACGCATTATTCCCAATAAGTTATACATTATTAAATATCTTGTGTTATTTTTATATCTAGTGAACTATTTACATAAGAATCAACTTAATATACAATAAGGTCAATGTTCGCTACAAAGGTCCAAAATATTGGCCAAAGGTTTGTATAAGATTGAGAATCACCCTCTTTGATGACTGTTTGATAGGTAATCTAACATTTTGCATAATTTGATCTAAAGAAAAGCCAAATCAAAAGGCAATTTGGCATAATTCTTTACATCATTGCGTTAATAAATAACAAACAAACGATAATAAAATGGGTGCGAATAGGATTTTCCCAATTGCACGATAAGATTTAATAGAAATGGCCTACTCTTATATCTTCATTCTTTTTTATTCTTTGAAGAACGGATAGGAAATTACATTGAAAAACCCTCACTAAAACTAACACACATTAAAAAGGTTTCTACAGTTTAACGTTTAAAAGTCTTCATGGCTGAAGATAAGTGGTGCATACTGATTATTAGAAAATATTCATCAAGTATACTTTTCGGAGTATTAGAATTTTACTATATGCTAAAGAGAAACTTACTACAGTATTGCTCAATTGAAACTGATAATCTTTTGTTGTATAAACATTTATCATACGATTAAGTCGATCATTACCATTATCTTTATTTTTTCGTTACTAATTGAATTATTTTCTAACACTTACTGTAAAACAAAAACGTTGTTGAGTAGAATTGATTGTCAGTACAGTTATGACGCTACTTTATTAATTGAAGAGATCACAATGGTGGTTAATTAGCTTATATTTTAACCGGTACAATTTCAAATTACTGTTAAGCCAACAATACGTAATCAATTATAAGCAAAGATGAATAGTGGCTCTCAGTGGAATCCAGGACGCGCGTTTCGTCCTATTTGGGACTCGTCAGATGAATGTACCTGCATCTCAGAGTCGATGTTTACTCTGAGACTCCAACCCAGTACCTTTTGCTTCAAACGCCATTGTATTATTCACCTAGATACTGAATCCTGATAGCTACTTGCTTGTGCAATGGGATGAAGTTTGAATTCACTTAGTATTGTTTGCTTGAAACTTCCCACTGATGTTTAAGACTGTAATTGATCTAATTCTTATTGGCATATGTGCATACTGCCTCGATTTTACCTTAAGTCACAAGCGTTATAATCAATATAGGGGCAATACACACAGTATGCACATATGCCAATAAGTAAGTGATCAATTTCAGTCCTAGACATCAATGGGAAGATTCAAGCAAACAATATCAGGTGAATATGTAATCAGCTTTCTTAACCTAGTTTCTAGAATGCACCGTAGTTTTATTCAAATAATTATAAGTAACAACGGAATCACTATAACATTTTAATGCGACGTTTCTTGTAATTATGTGAATGATCAACAAAGTTTGTTAAATTATGGTAAACGTTTTGGTATATACTTGTTTTCATGTATATAAGCCACAGTTAGCACCAACTTCATGTTTAAAAACTGAGTTATCACGTGTTGTTTACTAACTACCCTCATTACAGTTTAATCGAAACACTTTATTTCATAAACAGTAACCTATGGTATCTAACATTTTAGTGCGATAAGCTGCAATGAATATGCTTTCACATAAAATGTTTTCTGATACAACTAAGATTTCAAATATTCTTTTAAGCACCAAGTATTTTATGTATTAATCGGTCTTTTTCACTGCTACATTTCTCGTCTTATGAATTGTCAGTAATACAGCTGTACTTCTTTAATATTAATTCACTCATCCACCAAGTATATCTCTCACAGCTCTACTTTCATCTGTAATATGCACTATTGAGTGTTAACTTAAAGAAACTTTGTTATCTGTAATGAACACCTTTTCAAACATTATTAATGCAGATAAAAATGCATTCTAACATGTTATTCTACATGTACTAACGTAGTTAGTTCCCATCAAATCAAGAAAAACAAATATTCATAACATAACACTTACATAAAATATCTTTCTCGTTATCAGTAAAGTGCTCGCTCTATGAGCAGTAGTAACTAGCATCACTATGGTATTTTTGATTCATCCTCGTTTTCTTTAGAGACGGTAAATTTTTTTTAGGAGTCGTTTTACAAGGTAATGACATATCGGTTCTCATTTTATATTTCGATAACCAAATTTAAGTACTATTACCTCAAAGCATATAGCTTTTTCTAGGGTTTTGATACAGTCTTGTTTGAGTAAATGAGACAATATTCTATATAAAACAATTTTGGTAACTATTCTTGCTTGATATAAGTTTATACTGTGATATACAAAGGTTATAGAGATAAAAACAATTAAATCTTTCTACAGAGTTTAGTGAATCAGCCATGTTCTTTTATTATTTAGTTTATAATAACCGTAATAAATGGAAGTTGGAGCCTCAAGTTTATTAGGAAGCAATTAAAAGAATCTTAATTATTGAAATTGACGTGAATCGCACTAAGATTCTTCCAAATTACTTTTAGATAGTAGGTATATTTGAAACATTTACCAGTCACCTATCGCTGTTTTTCGACGTAAAATTTATATAACTAATTAAGTAATAAGTCTCTGAAACTATATAACTACATTCTATAAATGTTCGAACAACTCAAAGGACAATGCGTTGCACGTGTTACGAATAATAAGAAGACCCATGACAGAACAAAATACAACATAATACACTGTGATACATTTGACCTGTTTTGTGTTATATATATATGACACAAAATAGGTGAATAGTAAATATAATATATGTATAATATATACGAAATACAGATGAAGTAAAGAATCTACCTTTCTAATAGGAGATTGCATTTTAGTTTTCCATATATTCATAGTTGGTAACTAGTTGGTAAGTATTGGTTGATACTATTTAGTACTGAGTCCTTAATATGTAAAAATGGCGCCTCAAAAAATTGTGAACAAGTGTAAACGAATCATAATAGTGGCCAGGTACATTCAGCAAGATATTTTAAAAAGGAGAGTGTAATTCGTTATTATGTTTCTTGTGAAACAACATGCTCACTAAAACATTTTAATTGGGTTCATTTTCAGGAATAAAAAGAGAAATTATTCAAACAGCTATCACGAACGCGACTCCATTTTGTATTGAGCCAATCTAACTTAATTGATCCAATTCTCAAATGTGTTATGTCTTATGAATAATCTTAAGATTGAAGATATCAACATATACAAATGTATATTATGTATTAACCTGTCAAAAAATAGTAACGTACTGGGTAGAACCTCTTTAGTTTATTTTTCACAGAGAAATATAAAAGTAATTTTAATTTTTCATACAGATATGGTTTACACTGGTGTATTATCGAAAATTGTTAGACTAATTAGTTTTGGAAATGTACTTCAAAATAATGGTGTTCAAGATTATAGGTAAATAATATTGCTGAGAATGCAATGAGATGTGATTCATGGGTCATTTTTTTCCATAGGTAGTAGAACAAATAACCTATACCAATAATAAGTGAATAACAAGCCTTAAAATGATTTCTAATATAAACAACTTTGGTTAGAATTTTAGGTTTCATTCCAGTTGTAAGATTCATCAAATTTAAATTATTTGCCTTAACATTATCACGTTTCAATCATCCAATTAATACAGTCAAAATATATTTTTTTCTCCTAAATTAGTCTAACCAATCATAAAGCATATTTTTATTTCTTATAAGTACCAGTTAAACACCTCACTATTGACCAATGGTTTTTTGTATCATCATTTATCCAGTAAAATATTTTCAAGTTTTTGATATCCTTTTCAAGGGAAACAAAAATTGTTATTATTACTAATGAAGAATTATTATAGTCATTATAGACCATATACATTTTTGCATTTTCCTTATCTTCAAACTTCACTTCTGCTCTATTTTCCTACAGTCAACATCCTTTACCAATAATCGAATTGAATGACTTTCAAAAATATCACTTATTGAGAATATTGGAATAATGAATTTTCCGCTGTAAGTCAGTCAATATTTAATGTTTTGACTGTTCAGATTGATTTTGGATGTACATCTAGACATTTTGTAGCTGTAACATCTGAGAACAGGTTACTTAATCATCAAACATGTAGAATCACTAATAACTAATGTGCTAAGCAAGGACACATTTCACTTTACAAAATAAGTAGTTTAACGTTTGATAGATGAAACTTTATTGTCAGTGAAATCCTTTGTACCAAATTATATGTCATTTATGTAAATTTAAGCTCATTCAAAAAACTATCATAATTGTTAGAATTGGTGATAACTAACTAATTAGTTAACGCACAAGTCAGTAGCAGCCATATTTCTTAACGTTATAATGTCGTTCATAATACTAAAATATAATTCCACTTAAGTGCTCTAAGAGACATTTAGTTAAAAAGGTGTTTTATTGTCTAATATATTTTCTGACATTTAGTTTCCTTTATGGTAGTTTAACTTCATTGGTACAAAAGTAAATACGATTTATTCATTGTTTGTGACATTTTAAATCTCCGCCAACGTATGTTTTATGACATTTTCAATGAGCACTATCTTGGCAACAAACTACTTATTACATATAACTTTTGGCAGCTTTAGAATTGAAAAGTAATTGATTTATACTAGAATTAATATTTTTTATATGATAATATTATTTATTACAAAGCTAGATATAAAAAGACAAAATTGACTGGTTAGTAACGATAAATAGTTCCCGAAAAGATTAGGATGAAACGACATTCAAATGACAACTAGGTTACAGAAAAAATGGATTTCGGATTTCAGTGTTAGTTGCTGCCTGATTTATAAATATTATATTTAAGATAATGTCAACATAATTCTTACATAATGGTGAAGTTTATTTAGTCAATATTATGAGAGTAAAACAAACATACAGATTTATCTAGCAATCCACGTTCTTTAGAATATAATTGTGTTTAGTTCATTTGGATAATTACATAACGTCATCTCTGACAAATTGTCTACAGAAGCTCCACAATAAGGTAATAAGACATTTGACAATTCAGCACATCTTTCAGACAAAAATTTAAATTACTGATTATTGTTGGTTTTTGTCCTTACGCTTTTTGCACCTTTAAATTTCACTTTCGTTCGATAACTGTCTAAATATGACTTCTTACAATTGATTGATTATTAGGTTGTGATCACTGTCATGTGTGTCAGGTAATTCTTAGTTCAGATAGAATTCTATCGACCAGAAGGGCATCAGTTCCCTCAAGATTATGGATACAACTTGATGAGGAGTGCGAGATAACACGAAACGTAGGTCACAGTTTTCCTGTCGACTACCTTCAACGACCATCTCAAAATATAATTTCGTACAAACCTGATGTGAATTTCCTGAATTGATCTAACTTCAACAACAAGTTTGGTCGAATTCTCCTAAATAGAGATAAATGTTAAAATTTGTCATTACGTAAATTATAAAGTATATTTACTATCTCCATTAAAAGGTGACGAAAAATCTAATATCTAGACCGAATATAATTATGAAAATCTAATTATCTTCTTTATATTTTATAAGTCTAATTAAACTTTGCAGTTGACAAATAATGGATAGGTTTACATTGAATTGATATTATATTTTCCAGACATTTTCATAATTTTTGCATAATCGACGGAATAGTATTTTCTCCACTCCCTCTCTCTCTGAACTAATTTTCTCGAATTTCCAAATAGTTCTTTTCACTCATATGTTTGTCCAATCCATTTTTCTTTCCAGTTTGAGAATAATTTATGTTTCTCAAAGGAGTTTCTAAGAAAGATGGGTCACCGTGGTAAAGAACGTAATGTGATAAACATGAACTTTTGAATTATATTCACATAATGACAAAGAAACCTTGAAAATTTTCTAATTCCTTTCACTCGCCACGCTTTGTGATAAAACAGGCGAAAAATATTTATAAACAGCATAGGTCAATTTTAAGCATTGATTAGAGAATTGTAAGATTAACAAGAATGAATAAATCTGTTATAAACGTAGAGGATGCTTGTTATAACTCTTGCGGTTTCTGGTTATAACAGTCCTTTCACTTTTTACACGTATGTGGGACGCTAATTGACCTTAGACGAATATCTACACTAGATTCCCACCCAGTGTCTATTCTACAGGACTTCAACACAACTCAGATCAAGAACACGAAATTAGCCTGACTATAACGTCAATATATTTCCACACCAAAATCCGACACAAGGAACAGTCAATCAATAACAGTCCATCAATAACGGTCCATCAATAAGTGTCCATCAACAAGGAACAGTCAATACATAATAAAGATAGGGGAATATATATAACACATAACACCTGTCATCCTATCTAATGTTTGACTCATCAAGACAACCAGTCATTATCATTCTCGCCCACACATCAAAATCTGCGTCACAAAGGTTTTTGAATAGTCGATACGCTTAGCTCTAAGCATTCGTTATGTATTCCAAATCATCTATATTGGAGTTGCTATTTGAAATTAATTAATGCTTATATATTATGAATTATTAAAGCCTCTAAAGCACTTCCGTTAAATAATCTTTAGGTATTACTAGTTTTCATCTAAAGTTACGCTCTTTATGTTCTGGACTAGTAGACTGTCCTGTCTAATGATCACTAAAATGAATGAAAATGTTAAGAACTATTAACCTCAATTAAAAGTATTATTCGCCAACTTTAAGCAGTTATTTCGACCATAACGAGAAAATGTGAGTATCAAGTTAGATGATTATATATTCAAATTGGTTTGACTATTAGTAAATAGTCTCACTACGTTTCTTATCTCCTATGTTATGCATTGATAAGTAACCGGTTTCTCGTACCGTTTTAGTTAAAATTAGCAAGTTTGTCTGCTAGTAAGTCATTTCATTCAATAACAGAAGCAAAGTATATTATTTACTCAGTATGTCAATATTAGTCCAATAATGAAATCTATGGCTTTTGCACGTCTCACTTAAAAGCTATATCAACCGGCAAAAACTTAAAGCTTTTAAACAATTCTTAAGATATAGTCGCATACATGAAACACTTTATATGATCGCTTATTATTCTATGTGGTATTTTAATTTGGATAGAATGGTTTGTTTATAATTAGTGACAAATGTACGTTTATGACCGCATCTGTCAATATTGATTTATTTGCCTTCACCATGTTGATACCTTGTTTATAAAACCACTAACACAAGAAACGGTAAGCTAAATAAATTGATTTTGCATTACAATAACAATCACGTTTTTTTCTTATTTATCAATAACTAACTAAAAGTCTCACCCATACTTCCAACATTATTACCAATACATTACTTATCGTTTGATGGATTGGTTACAATTAACTTCCCCATTATCACCAATTTTTAAAGTATTAATTCTTAAGAAATGCTTCGTATTCCTTGAGAAAGTAAGTTTAGACAAAAGTAATTACATCACCTTCAAAATAGAATTCAAAAAACATTTTAAATATTTGTTTAACCCATTATTCAAAACTGACACAACATTCACGTGCAAGGAAACGAAAATATGAATGGGATATTTTTTCCAAACGAACGATGCAATTAAATGTTAAAATATCTTGTAGAAAGACGTTCTTTGTCTAAGAGAATTTCCTACACAAATCCAACCTGAGATATTTTTTCCTGTCAATTTACAGGTATTTTATGATGATTGTAGTTTTCTGATAGAAATTTCCAGTAGATCAATATATTCATAGACACAAATATTAAATCCGCAAACGCTATTTTTAGATAAGAATTCAATAACATTGCAAACTAAGATAATCTCCATTCATTCACTTTTGTTGTAACAACTTGTAAAAAGTATATGATTAAAATACCTTTGTTACTGCTGTGAAAAGACGTCTGCTAATAGGCTAATGCTTTACTTTTTTAAATTCTAAACATTTAAACACAACTGATGTATATGCGAGTATTTAATTTTAGAAAACTGAAGTTATCGAAATAAAATGATAGTGTAATAAACATTCGAAAACTTGTGAGGAAAGTCGTCGGCGAGACTATAATTTATGAACGGACCAATCAGGGAACAGATAACAGATTTCGGATTTTGACACGAAACTCATTCATCCATTTGGCTAAATAACGTTTTGACATTATAGCCAATGTCAGTTCGTGATGAAAACCCTAAGTCTAGTTCCTAACATTGACCATCAACTGTAGATCATAATTCTAATTCCTCCTACTGCTTTTTAACCATCCTTTGGTCCTAGTTGCTAGGTCGACACCCTCAAGGTCACTCTAGCGTCGCTCAAGGGTTGTCTATAAATGTTAGCCTCACCAAATCGTCTTCTCCAGAAGTCAGACATTTATAAATGTTTCCATTATATCTAGTTGCGTAAAAACTGTTTCTAGTGTGACGTTTCTCTTGCTTATGCCTTGTCGATTATTCAAAGGCAATTTAATCCCTCAAAGTGTTCAAGTCCACTATTCTATCTAGTACTTGATCAGGCTTCTGGAATCAGAAAAGCCAACCTCTGTAACGTACAAAGCATGGTTTTATTGCATAGCCTATTAATTATATTTTAGTTCTCACTTGGGACTTAGATAATTTGTTGAAACATCTAGATGACAGGAACAGGTAGCCCAGATGTCTAAGCAGACCGCCAATTATGTGATTATCTACAACACTCATGAATATACTTTCTGTATTCCGGAAATAAAGCACTTGATTTGTATATCTGGAACAGCTTTAGCGGATATTAACAAACGCTTATTGGGATCGTGCTTGAGCTAAATTAGTTCATTAACCCCAATTGTTTACGCATTTATTTTCACTGAATATACTTCAAGATTACTTGTATTGAACTAGTGATGCCGTAATACTGTTTAATGCGCTTTTGAAAACAATTAGAATCACTCTATCTTCCTTACCGAACATTAAGTTAATGCTACAAGTAGTAATATATCCCTACACTATTATAAACTATTAATAATGTCGTAATTCATATAGCTGACGTTTTACTATTGAAACAAAGGACGATTGTATAAATTGGATTTTATCCAGATAAACAGGTAAAATAAATTGCATATCATCAAACCGAAGATTATTAACGTTATTATGCAAAAAACTGGTAGGATGAGATTATGTTCTCTAATTTTATATATTTAAGTCATTGTATCAAAAAGTCCTTAAAAGCTAAGCCAACTATGTGCATCGAAAATCAGTTTATTGAATGATGATGAATATGTTTCTGACTTAAGGATAATAAATGATCAGTGAACAAACATAATTAGTACAATTGCGGAATAAAATAAGTTTATTTCACTATAAACAATTACCAAACTGTCAAGCGTTACCACCTTTAATTTTCTGAGATACATTCCTGTTAAGTGAATAAATGTGAATTTTACATCAGTGTTTGTTTTTGAGGGAACAAATAATTCATGACTGATTTGTTTAAAGCCAGTAACACAGTAAACTTGGTTTTTTTGTTTGAAGATTCCTAAGTATCATTTAAGTTAACTTCAAAATTTACTCATCGTCTAATACATATGCCTCAGATGGTCTATGTAATATCGAGTGTTCGCGCCCTGTTTAATATTATGAACGAGCTAGGACTGCCAATGAGAGAGCAGTGATTTGTCGATCGCCCAATGATACACAAAAGCCGTATGAGCAGTCTTGAGTACTACTCGGTCCTGTTTTCTGCCTAGCCCAGCCAGTTAAGTCCAGAACACCAATAACAGCCTCTGCAGTATGAATCATTATTTTCAAACATACTGGGTTTATATACCAAACAAACTGACCACATCGTACCTTAAAATATAGGAAATAACATGTGTACAAGATTTGGCCAAATGTGGCTGTGAATAGGGGGAACAGTAATTGATGAACTAGAGATAACTCAAGAATGGTAAATCGTATAATAAAAGTCTCTGGGTCAAAATAAACCCTATAATAAAAGGGACACGAATATGAAAATTTTAGTTACTTATCAATTATACAATAGGAAATATACATATCATATTGCTCCATAAATAATTCTCAAAGTTACCATTCATAAATCTCTTCGGGATATAACAGTCTAGAAGAAGACAGCGATATTGCGCTGAAATTTAATAAAACTAGATTAGCGTCCGTTTTCAATCATAATGAGTTCTTTCAGTTTTACAAATAGTTAATCTAGTTAATTACTATTTATTTAAACGCAAACATTTACTGTTCTTTTTTCAAAATTCAGGTAATACATGGCACTTTTTCCCAATAAACGCGAAGTACTATATTCGAGATATCTACTTCTAAGCAATTTTCAAAGACGTAAGCCAAGTCCCCTCTATAATATAAAAAAGTTAGCTCAAAATTGTGTTTTTGCGAGAGAACTCACTTTGAAAATACGCTTGATTATTCCCATGCAATTATTGATTTGATCTATATTAGTTGACTAAACAACAACTGGTAGGTCAAATGAGGTCACTATGAAATATACTAAGTACTTTTAATTGAAATATTATG